GGAAACACTAACAGAGATGGTTTTAATCATTTTAATTATGTTTCTGTCCAGTTTAATGTAAAATTACTGATTTTGTCAATGGGCCGGCTGCTGGTTCTCTAGTGCGACATCTATTGAGTATCTAAGTGATTTTTACATATATAACCTTTAACTATGTAATATTTTGTATTTTCAGACCTCTGTTGATATAGCATACGATGTTATATATATATAACATTATATATTAAGATATCGTGAACCTACTGGCAGATCTTGTGCAGGTTGTCCCTGTCGTCCAGGTCCTGGGGATAGTTGGCCATGTTCTCCCCCAACTGAAGCAGACAGTCTGAGAAACCTTTAAACACAGAGTCACATTGACCAGCACTGACCAGCACCGTCTGCAACACAGAGACTGCAGGGGGGAGGAAGAGGAAGAGGAATAGAGAGAAAGAAGAGAGAATTTCACATTAGAGAAAATCACAATAAGCTTCTCAGTTATCGACCTGACTGGTTGAGTCTGTTCTGTTTTCTACAAACAACAAACCATCAGGACCACATTTTCGGTACGAGGAACCATTTATTTATCAGTTTCCTCCAACTTTAAACCTTCTCTAACTGGACAAGACACATATCGATACACACTGATTGTCTCTTACCAGGTTATAAGTGCCAACATTCCTCCAAATGTAAATGTTGTTATCGTATGATTACTTTTATTTAACTTTTTTAAAGCATATTACAAACGTGCCTCTACATATATAAGTTGTATTCATTCAGATAAAAACATCGCCGTCTTATTCTGACATAAACAGATGGAGGAACTTTATCAGCACTTAACATGGCTCCAGTGTGTGTAACATTGAGGAGTAATATAATATTCATACGTATGTTATCATCAGTGTATTATCACCTGATGATGAGGCTTTGTAGTGTTTTTGTTTCCTTAGAATGAGTGATGTTTTGACACAGAGGCTACAAAAATTAAACATGTCGTCTGCATAGAAGTTGAACCTTGCTCAACTTTTTAATTTGTGTATAACTGCCTAAAAATAAGAATGGTTCGTTAACTTAAAATGAGACATTTTTATCTACAGAGGGAGCGGGTCAACTACCGAGGACGCCATGTCTCTCCCAAACACTGGATCTAGATTCATTCATGTTTATACACTTCTACACTGCTAGATGCCACTAAATCCAACACACTGGTTCTTTAAGGGAAATAACTTTCCCTTAATGTGTATAAACTTCATATGGGAAGATAAAAGTGTCATCAGCAAACAGCAAAGAGACGTCACTAATACAACTAATTTAACCTGAACAAACGCTGTTTAGTTTATTTGCACAATGAAACAAAGTAAAATGCAAACGTATACAACATTTTTTTTTCTTTTAACAAAAGAAAAATGTAAAGAATTGCCTCATTATTTAAGAGAAACCAACCAGGCAGTGGAGATCACTTCCTGTTACTTTCTGCTGTTTCCAAGGTTCATTATTAGAAGGTCGGTCAGCTCAGTTTACCTGTGACTATTCAAGGTCAACATTCCCTCCTGCTCCATTACACTCGTCACACCAAACTCAAACTTAAAACAAAACGCTGTTTTAAGGAAGTAAAGCTTTTATTTTCCACCTCAGCTGACGACTCTGACATCTCTCTTCAATCTACAGACCACAATTTGTCACATTCGACCTCAGTAACGGATCATTACTAACCTGTGAGGAAGTTGGAACAGACACAGCTGACTCGTCCCTCTTCATCCTCTGTGTGTGGAAATAATCAGCCACAGATCTTTTCTTTTACTGTCCTTGGTTGATTAGGAAAGTAAATAAAACCGTAAACTGGCTTTGAAAGTGACGTATCTCTGCTCTCATCTATCAGGTTCAAGATCATTGAGAAACTTCCTTAACTGTGTCCTGAAGCCGTTCAGGAATAAAACTATTGAGAATTATTAAATTTTGATTGTTTCTAGATGAATGTGCATCTTAAAATAAAGTTCTCCACTTAAATAAAAACTGATATTGATGATGCTGATGAAAATATCTCCTGACAGTAAAATGAGTGTTCAACCCGCTGTAATCAGGCCGTGTCAGCCTCCTCCCTAATTCTCGTTAACTCAACCATAAAACACTGCACGGGTTGCCAGGTCCGACACGCCTCCATCCCCCCTCCTCAGCCAGTCACACACGTGCACTAACACGACACACACACGCCCCTTTACATGACCTCTGTTAACTAAGTGTGTGTGTGTGTGTGCGCGTGGTTCGTTAAGCAGGGGATGGGGCTGATTGATTGGTTTGGATAATAACACGCCTGCTGTCCGGTTCCACTCGATCAAACTGTGGACTAACACAGCATGACGTGTAGGACGAGACACGGCTGTTAGAGGAGGACGAGGGAGAGAAATCCATTCATCCTGCCTGCAACACGACACAGAAAAACCATATCTGTTTCTGAGTGTCGTATCCAGAGAGTCTGTTACTCAACAACAGCGTCATGTGGAGCTTATTGTGGGCAGAAATAACACATTTATACCACATGCAAAACACTGCATGGGATTATCTTAAAATGGGTTTTCATAGAACCCAGTTTTATTCAGATATCTAGAGGTCAGAGGTCAGAGGGATCCCTTTGAAAATGGCCATGCCAGTTTTTCCATCACCAAAATGTAGCCCAACCTTGGAGCGTTATTTAGCCTCCTTTGCAACACGCTAGCATGACATGGTTGGTACCGATGGATGCTATCTTCACTCTAGCTTTAAAATACAACCCGCCACAGCCTCTGAAAGACCGTGTGTAGTGGAAGAGGGAAGGATAATGAATAACTGGGTTATTATTGTCAGTTTAACAAAAATGTGCCAGAAATATCGTCTCTTTTCATCCCACAATGCACCTCCACCACTGGCAGTTGGGTGGGGGATTGAGCAAACCTGAAGCCCTCTAACTACACGAACCAAATTATTGTTTTTGTGCAGGGTTACTGAGTAACACACACACACACACACACACACACACATTGTATTAGAACAAAAAGTTAATTGGTAACGTCTGTGTTTACCCAATGTGTTGAAATTGTTGCTGTGAAAAAGGTCTATTTTGCAAAACTCCAGATTTAGTCGAAAAACATTTTTCTTTCTATAATATTTGCAACTTTTTATATTTTCAATTAAAACCAAAAAACATCACAAATATTACGAATAACACTGTAAAACCTGATGACACAGTTAACAAAAATGAATTAAATACGAATTAAAGTCAATCAGAATGAATCGTTGAAGCAACTCAGACGTTTTGAGTGAACTGAAAGGTGTGAAATATATGACTCATTTTCTTTAAGTTGACTTTATATCATTATAATGCTGTATAGGATATCACAATTTTAGTTTGTATTTCAGTTTATTAATTTTTATAAACCCAAATATGCATCTAAAAGAAACTAAATGTTTTTATTGTACGTCAGCTGTTTTGACAGGTAAAGTAATAATTAACTTTAGTGGAAGAAAACTTTTGTATAAAGAATTAAAGCATTTAAGTGACTTTATTTAGATAAATTCTGTTCACACATTTTTAGAGAAACCCTGCGTATGAAACTGGCCACTGGGCTACAGTAGAAACATGGCGGATTCTGCCAGAAGAGGACTAACCCTCCCTCTGTAGATAAAAACGTCTCATTCTCAGGTAACAACAACGATTCTTATTTACAGGTGATTAAACACTAATGAAAACATACCTATGAATATTATATTGTATTTCATTAAATCCTCCTTCTCTTATATTTCCTCTGTTTCCTCATATCGATTTATAGGTGAATCTCTTTTTACTGCTTATTCAAACTTAAATTTTTTTATCTGTTTGTCTGAATTATCTAATTAAATATGAGTAATGTTTATATATTCAGGTTCAGGGGCGGATCTAGAGTAATAATAATGGAGACTTTAAGGGACATTTATGCTGATTTAACCACAAACAATCACATATATCAATATTTACCTGGATATAATGAAGATATCTGAACTCAAAAACATTAATTGTTGTGGCACATTATTAAAGCTGTGGATGGAAATATCTAAAGATTAGAAATCAATAAAATTGTCTAAACTGTGACTATAACATGTAGAGCTGCCACCTCAGTTTTCAATCAGATTTAACACATTAACTGTCTGTATTATATCCTATAATATCACATATATTCACATATTGTGTCACTCTGTATGATTTTAATGATCTTTCTGTAATATTACATCAATGTTCCTCTTATTGTGTCTTAAAGCTGATTTGTTATGAATCCTCTGTTATTTAATATACCTTATTAAACGATCCTGATGTTTTTTGGAGCTGTATAGTTTTAAATATATATATATATTTCTGTATTAAATATATATTAATTAAGTATTAATGCTTAAAGATCCCCTCCATGCTTTTAATAACGGGGGTTCCCAAATGTTTCTATGCCAGAGCCCCAAAAACCCCCACTGACAATATACAATAAGATATGTTATAATGTATATTTTTATAGATTATATGTTATAATATAATAATAATGGTAATAATAAAGTCATTTTATTTTATTAACTGATGTTTTTAGTGTCTTCTCGTACATCTTCGGTCCCCTGGTGGACCCCGCCACCAGCTCTGAAAGACTGCTGTCGTTATCGCGAGGCCTTCTTGATTTGAAGGCTAAATAACTTAAATTGTGACGTAAATTGTCCATAAAGAAGCTTATTAAGTCTTTTAAATGTTAAAACATATTTTAAAAATACATAATACAGACAGAATTGTATAAAAAGTTCCCTAAACAAGGAAATAAATTGCATAAAATTCATCCAAATCTCTGGTTTTACACAAACTTCCTACAGTTACTGAGTTCACTGTTTGGATTCATTGCTCAGTTTTTAATATAATGTTAAATGTCTATAAAATATGTGAGTCAGTTTAATAAATTAAAGAAAAGGGGTCTCGTTGGGGGAAGCAGTGACTTAAAATCATTAATAAAAGCAGCTTAATCTTTTGTTAGTTTGTGTTACTATACATTAAAATAAATTATTGCATTTCAGCGTATTAACACAAATAAAACAATGTGTGTCCAAATAAAGTAGAATTTCCACATTAAAACCATAAAGAAAGTCATTTACCTAATGAGAAATCACAGAATCTATCAATATGCTAATTTAGTTTTCTTGCTGCACTGTAAAAAAAAGAAAATGTTGGTAAACTGACATTAAACTGTAGGTTAAATACAGTTTCTGTAACAGTAAAACTTTATTTATGCAGCATTTTTAAGGGATTTATACGGAATAAAGTCGTTTTATATTACAAACTGTAAATTACACAGAAAACCACCGAGATGATGTCAAAAAACTGTTTCTTTTGATGGTAGAAACGTGTATTTAAGCGGTAAAATAAGGATTAAAACTCATAATAATGTTAATAATAATAATACATAAGTTCTGGTTCAGCTGCTTTTATCTTGTTGTTTTTCTACAGTTTCTCTGTATTTGTAAAAATGTCTTTTAATACCTGTGTATTAATATTCAGTCTGTGTGGATGAATGAGAGTAAAACCTCCTCCCTCCCTCCCTCCCTCCAAATTTTTATATTTGGTTCGTATTGCATTTATATATTTTCTACATGTTTTTAAAGAATTATGCGTAAATGTTCTATGAAATAAATCTGGCTTAAGAATTCCTAATGAACAAATAATTGAACATTTATTATAAATTTCAGATTACAAATAAAATCCCAATTCAGACTTCTAAGTATTAAGTGTGTTTGACCTCACCGCTTCAGATGGAGAGGAGCTCGTTCTGTCAAAGACTTGGAGATCCGACTTCAGCTTTCGGGTTTCTATATCCCACCATCACTGCTTCCTCTTTTCACTCCACAACAGGAAGTGTGTGTTTGACCTCGAACCCGATCGCTCGACCTGCTACTGAGACCGCTGTAAAAACCCTCTGTTGATCCTCTCTGGAGACAGTCCATTAAATATATGTGACAGCAACTTGATGTATAACAATTAGCTGACCTTACAGGGTGACTATGTCATTTGTCTTTTAACCATCTTTAAAGAAGGAAGAAGAAGGAAGAGATATACATTTATATCCCCTAGGGGGAAATTGTTTTTTCACCTTTTTGATTACACACACACCACACACACAAACAGGCTGAAATACACACTTCATGCACATGTGGACAGGCAAGGGGAGAGGACGGTGGAGGGTTGAGGGGCTCATGAGCAGGTTCGG